CAATGTGTTGTTTTTTTCTCTCTTTCTCTCTACCCTTCTTTTTTGTTTACCGCACGCCATAAAAATATTAAAATTGATTGATTGTGCAAATGTTTTCTTTGACTACGGTAAATTGGGAGACGATATGCATGCCCTTTATCTACGTACACAATGAATACGCAATGCATTGGCATTTTACAAGTAAACATAGTAGTATGAAACTAGAGCCGAACTTTCTAAATTCGCATAAATAATTACTCGGTGCCTTTTTATCGTATGTGCTCAATGTACAAGCGTTTCGTTTTGTATTAGAGGGTTGAAGTTGAACATAGAGGCCATCTATGAACATGATGACGTCGTGTTTGTATTTATATATACAGTAAAAGTCAGAGAGAATGAGGCTGGAATATGGTAGCTAGACATGAAGTTAAAATGCATGTAATGTAATCAGAAAGAGATACAGCCACACAAAGGTAGAAATAAAACAAAAAAAAAACACAGTCCCATTTGTTCTCTGTTCGAAACGAGTTGGGAAGCGAATGAACGGCAACAACGATGGCAAATGGGCATATAATACCATGTTATCATAATCATAGGTACCATTACAAAGTACGACAAAGTATTTACATTGTAACGATGCATAAGATAGTGAAATTAAAACAAATTTCAAGTTACGAAATAGCGTACAGATTTTCGGATGCAGGCACACATGCATACAAACACATGCACAGACAAACACTTGAATCAGCTGCACATTATAAGGGGATAGTGCCAAAAAGTGTGTGTCGTATGATAAAGACAGAGAATGTGTGTCTGTGGTGATTTTTTTGTGTTATTTTTTTTAAGTATACATCCACTAAATGTGGTGAATAGAAATGTGCACACGTAGAGCATCAAGCATAGAGGATTATTTCGTTACGTACAGAGAATATTTAATGAAAGATTTCGCTTTGAAGTTGAGTTTTGTATTTGTTAGTTTGTCGGTGGAAAATTGAAGGACCTATTCCATTAGCGTCAAACCATTCTATCAGCACATATGTACTTTATTACGCATTATAAGAGAATCGATTCATTGAAGAGTAAAATTTGTACCAGATAATTACAATAATTAAAATGGTACAACTTGAGTCGTCAAGTTACATGCAGCTGCTAAAGGAAACGGCTTATCAAATCAATAGGAAGCGAATAAGTATGTGTGTGTGCGTGTGTGTATGGAAGTGAGAGAAAATGAGATAGGTAGATAGAAAACGCACCGAAGAGAAAGTGAGAGAAACAAGTAATCGGTTCACACACAGCATGCAACAAAGATTGTTGTTGTTTTTTAAACTCTCATTTGCCATGAGACGGTTATTTTATGGTTTGATATATAAACTTCAGAATAAATTACGGCGCCATATTTTTAATTAGATTTGTTAAATGACGATGCAATAAAAGGCAGCGAGACATACGAATACTTTCTTCATCACCATATAATCGAGTATATGCATTCTATTACGAAAGAGTTTATGTGCATGTGCAAGTGAGTTCATACCTGAGCTTGTGTTCGAAATGAATATTGTGTCAGTTTGAGATGATTGAAATTTGAATGACGTGAGACGTGCAAAATTAAGAAATGAGGTGCATGTGTGTGTACCATTGGTAGCTTACCAAGACGGCACAGAAAACTTACTCTGAAGAAAACAAATTAGAAATTATAATTCCAAAGAAGTCGTTCCATGCGAATCAACCGCTAACACAAAATCGTCTTTTCTCTTTTGCACACCGGTTCGTGGTAAATAAATAGCGCCCGTCGATAAGAACGATTCAAGATTCATATGTGTTTCAATCGCACACTTGGCACTGTTTGCAATCGTGATGGTATCTATCTTCAGCAGCGTTGAGGACAAAATCAATAAAATATACATCGAAAACGGGCGATAGACAACAATCTATGATGTGCAAAACAAAATACAATAGATAGCAAAAAAAGCAAATTTTGCTGCCGAATGACATCAATGATGGTTTACTTTTCCCACTCATTTCCTTCTTCTTTGGGGACGAAAACTGTGCGAAACGGGCGCCATAAGAAGTGAAAGCGACAACAAAGAATTTTCGTTTTGTTTATGGGAGAGTATAGAGAGAACGAACGCGAGAGAGAGTACACAATTCTGTATTCATGCCAAGCTGTGTGATAGATGACAAACTAAATCTGAAGAAAAATGAATAAATGAACGTGAAACCGCAACGATGATGCGAAACAATGTGCAAACTTTTCGATATTCAACTTTTAACTTCATCGTCATTTATTGTTCACCTTTTGCTTTCGATGCGTTTTCATTTTAATCAAAGTATATCGTTGTTGGTTCCTTTTTCTCCTTCTCTCTTCCTCTCTCTCTCTCTCTCTCTCTCTCTCTCTCTCTCTCTCTCTTTCTCTACTTTCTTATCTGTCTTTCTTTTTGTTTTTGCCGATGTTGCGGTTGGGCCATTGAATTTCAGCACTTTCGATTGCGTCTTCATTAGTCCTTTTTTATTTTCCGTGTTGTTTTTTTTTCGAATGCATTGTGAAAAGCACCCATGCTTCACACGACGTGTGTATGTTTATTCGCATGTGAAGGGCACTAGCAGTGCGTTGTTAATGGTCAATCAACGGCAAAATTCATTTCCATTTTCTGTGAACGCAAAAAAAAACAAACCGACGTTTCAATGAAATCTGAATTTATATTTGCACAACAAGCCCCAAGTCTATCGACTCATATTTATACTGTGCAATAACATTCAAGATTGAACAATAAAACCGTCATATGTGTAGTGTACGCATTTTACGACTGTATGGTAGTTTTCATATATTTCGTATTAGATAGATGAATTATGAATGTGGCAATCAAATGAAATCGTTTTGACTTTTGCATACATTTGAATATTGAAAAGCATATAACGAAATAAAAAATCAGACGGTGTATTTGCATTATGTTTTTTGATGTTGTTATTTTTGTCGCCCGATATTCGTTATGGAATGGACCGGCATTCGTTATCCTTTTTTTGCTGCCCCCAAAATATGCCATTCGGTTTGAAGAAGCGTAAGTTGAAATGGTCAAAAAGCACACCATATTACATTGTATGTGCGACACATGCGAGTGTAATGACACTAGTCGCGCGGTTTTTCTCATTTAATTTTATCGCTTTTATCGCGCCCTTTTATCGCCTTCCACCGCTTTTTTCTGCATACAACTACTCTTTCTGTGTGTCGTTTCAACTATGAGTTGTTGTTTTTTTTTTGTTCATGAACTTACTTAAAATAAATCATATGTTCGCTTTGGAGTTTACTCTTTTTTATGGTTTGGCTATTATATTTCTTTTTGTCGTACACGTGACACACGTTTCGTGTAGGGTTCCATCGTCTACGACAGTGATTAAAATGAATGAAAAACACATATAACTATTCGGATTCTCATTCAGGCACAGTAAACTATAAATTGAAATCACGTTAAACAAAGTGAAATAAAATGAAGCGAAACGAGCTTACATATAATGTTTATTGCATGCATCGAGCCCTTCGCATTCACACATTCATTATTATTGAGTTTTATACATACGTACATTTTCATTTTTCTCTGTTCTTTTTCAACATTTATCAACAAGCACCAAGCGAAATTGAACAACAACAAAAAATCAGCAAACAAAAAATAAAACTTCAATCAACTTAAAACCATGCTCAAGCTGTGATAAACTTTTTCGTTTAAGTTCAATAACCCATAATTGTTTCGTCTTTCATTTTTTTTATATCAGTAATTTTATTCGTTGGCACATCAATACATCGATATCGGATGACATTCTTTGCAAAGGGGAAAATCATCCAAAAGTGGTCACAGTACAAATCTCCACGAACTTTATATTGAGTTTTCATTAGAAATACGCCGAAATAATTATAATAATACATGAAATAATTTCGAAACGTTAATTTACAGCACCTTAGTCACATGAACGGGCATTACTAACTACGTCATGGTTTCAGAGTTGAGATATGGTTTTATGTGATTTTCCCCTTTGCATTTTTGTCATCGATTGATTCACTTAGGAACATTCACGATAAAACCAATAAATCGAAAACAAATAACTTGACTGTGTTCGAATTACACACTGGTAACGTCCAATTGGATATGGTTACATGGTTTTTATAGCGAAAAAAATCGAAAAAGAATAAAAAAAAAGAAAATGTGTTTGCTGACATTGTTAAGTCGATGTTAGATTTGAAATGGACATTTGTTGGATTATATGAATATTCTACGGCTTATCTTGCTATAAAGAAAATAATGGTATCAAAAATTATTTTGACCCCGTGTAGAATGAGGTGTTTGGTTTTTGTTTTGACATAACGACATCTATTGTGTTTCCAAATATTGTGTTGTCTATTGAATATTATGAAAGTACATTTAAAAAAAATTCATTCGGACGGTTTACCGACAACTAGGAGAGCCCAAATTGCAAAAAAGTTACAAAAAGAAAATTAAAACCCCTTCCAATTTGTTTTAATCGATTCATTGAAATAGTCATTTTTCACAGCCAGCAAGAAAAAAAAAACATGAAATCAGCGGCACCAGAAAATCATTTTAATATCTTTCATTGTAGAAAAATGACCAAAGAAGATTTGATTTCGTACTAAAATGGAAATTTGATGACGAATGTATTCAACATGAAATTATTGGAAATGTTCCAAGCTTGCCCCTGTCTTGTGTACCGCTATGATTTACTTAAATTGACGTGTTTCCAGCGTGTCAATCAAGTCAAGCAAATCAAACAATGAAACACACTATTGACACAGCCATATAAAGTGATCTAAAAATAATTAAAGTGAATTTCGAAAAAAAGCAGTAGGTCAATCCATTTAATGATAGTTAGAAATTTCAGGAAATTGAAATGCCACACATAGTTGATTCATTGAGATGCCTCAATTAATAATGTATATAAAATTACACTGTAATGTTTATATGTCCAACTTTGAAACAGATTTTCATTTAATTGGATCCATTTTGTTCTAATTTCAGGTGAGTGTGATAGATAAATACTGGACTCAAAAACCACATACACCGACACGAAAATTGTTCGCTTTGTATATAATAGACAACTTGACCAAATGTTGGCCTTTCATAACGAACATATTTCAAGTAAGTGTTTACGCTCCTGCATTTTGATTAATATGGTATTAGTAGAAAATTATGAATGACAAATTGGTCGGTTTCAATTAAATTAAAAAGAAAATATATAATTGGCCTTCTTTTCCAATAATTCAAATGTATTCGAAATCGAAGAGTTCAACGATCGATACTTGTAAAAAATGTTTCACATTTTCAATATGCATAAGTGGAGTTTCAGGTCGTGAAGTGCATTTCTATTCTCGCATAGTATACCCTTATTTTGCTACATTTTGTCGCAATCAACTACAATTAAACATCAATTCCAACCACTTATTTATCAAGTTTACACTATAAAGGATAATGACGATGATACTCTACAAAATGAGCACATAGCGTATTAAATGGATTGTGCAGAGCAAAGCGTGATTTTAGTTTGTTTTTTCTTTTCATTATTATTATTCTTTTTATTTTTTCATCGTTGATATATTTTTATGCTCCACTACAATCATCTATCCATAAAAGGCTCCGTTATTCCATGAGAACGACATCAAACATTGACTGTTACAAATATCAGCAATAATCGTAATAACAATGTAATGACTTTGATGACGAACAAAATAGCATACGCGACAAAGCACGATCGGGAGAAAAACCAACGTGGAAGCCAACAATGAAGTAAAGTAGCGAAAGAAGATGAGAAAAAAAAGTGAAAACATCACGTGGTAAAGGGAGTAGAGAGCGACTGAGTGAGAGAGAGAAAAAAAAAAGAAAGGAGAAAGAGAATGTAGAGAAGTGCTGAACAAAAGACAGAAAAACCAACTATTATGAGCATGAGAACGAATGTGTGCCGCCCGAACAATCATACAAGATAAATACATTCGATACCGAAAATATTTAACAAAAGGAGAGACGGAAAAAGAATTGGAGCGATGATGAGACTGTCAACTGTGACAAAGGCAACAGCTTTCTTTGTGTAAAAGCAGATACAAGATATGAATATAAGATAGAATGTCGGCTGGAAAACCCGCCAAGGGAACGTCATTGAAGAGAGGTAAAAAAACGCCACGCCAAAATGCAGAACACACACATAAAAAAACGAATAAACCAACAGCCACAACAACAGCAACGTGTGGAAAAGCAAGCGACGTGCACTAAATAGGCGAAAACAACCGGAATCGATCCAAAAAGGCTTTTTGCATTGCTTACACCAAATTTAAAATTACTAAATTTTCGCCCATTCTCAGCACCACAACTTTGATGAAGCTTTCGATCAATTTGTAGATATTTAAGTCCAATTTTCTCTCTCTATTTCTCTCTTTCGTTGTTCGTGCACCCCCGCCAACACTTTCTCCATGCCTCCCATTCTCTATGCTTCCATTTTAGCAAATGTCATTACTTCTCTAAAAGTGAATGTCATTTTGATTTACGACTCGGCTATTCTTACACAAAAAAAAATGCGAGAGAAAAAGAATCTGACAAAAAAGTACTCACAAAAAGCGTATATTATGAATCATGATCGAATGATAAAGAGGATGAGACGACAACAATGACAACAACAACAAGCATAATAATAACAACAAAGAAGAAAAGTATTTGGTAAAAAGTAAAACACGCGAAGCAAACAACAGAAAAAGACCCAGAGACACTGAAGCCATATTTTCCAGATGCACTTCAGGCGAGAACAATGAGACGAACGGACTGATGTTAACAAGAACCGAACCGTATTATGCTCAGAGAAACCATCTTTCATCTAAAAGCAAGTTCACATTCAGTATTCTCTCTCTTTTTTCGTTGGTCGCTGATTCGTTTTTTTTTGCGGTGAGCTTTGATATAATTTGCGGGAGGTAGACGAGGAGCATTATAAAAATCAATATGAAAGAGTACGGTAATGGACGCGCAAGCGGCCAATGTGAATTGAATTGCAGAAAGAGAGAAAACAACAAAAGAACAAGACCAACGGGCCACAATACAGGCAGAATTACGACACAAATTCAAAACACTAGGATATTACTTCGAACTGCACGAAAGAATGGGAAAATCGTTGTGGTTTTTGATTTACAATATATAGTTAATGTGCTTTACAACTTGCGTTCTGTATGGTCGCATTGGGATCGACATCTCTTTTTTTCGGTTTAATACTCAAACCGTGATGAATTTTTTTTAAATTGCTTATAGAAAGACCACAAAAAACCAAGTTAGCCAGTCAATATGCAAAAAAAAGTAATAAAAATAATGAAAAAGGACATGAAATTTGTCATAAATGCAAATATTATCCTTTTATTATTCGGTGGAAGAAAACATAAAACTGAGTTGATTGTGCAACTGGAAAATGATCACATTTCATCGATGCATTTATACTCGAAATGTGATTGATTTTTCGTCTTCAATAAAACCGATATTTCATGGGAATTTTGAAATAAAATTACCAATTCGCATAAAATAAAGTACCACCGATAGGAAGTTCCCTCCCATCCTATGAAGATATTATGTTAATACAGTAATTAAATAAACATTTGGAGACTGTTTAAAAGGGAATTGTTCGTTGTCCTTCATAACTCATCGAAAAATGAAATTTTTCATCATCAAGCGATTGGAAATGTATCCGAATGGATAGAGTTTTTATCGTTGAATCATTATTCAAATTTTGAATAATGTGTGTCCAATATGCTATCGACGTACTGCACACATTTCAAAATGTACTCCGATATACTGTTTGCTACACCTTGAGCAACATTTATTTATTTATTTTTTTGTATGCATATGTATACAAAAATATGAGAAAACATGTTTCTAATTTGTATTTTCCTTTTGTTTAAATTGCACGGGAATGCGGTCTATGTACATGTATGTGGTACGGATGTGATCTGATGTGCGCGCTTTTACAAAATGCAAAACAAAAAAAACATGGAAAACAAATGGCAGGCTGCGCGTTTTTGACGTACTTCCAGACGCGGGACAACCCAGAAAGTGCAGCAATCGCTCAGAGTGTGTTGCATGAAAAACAGACATTACCAGGGGTAAGTAAACAAACACGTATTAGATAATAAAGTATATAATTTTTCGTTTTATTATTATGATTATTATAACATGCTTCTATAGTTAGTAAATGTTGTTGTTGGTTCAATTTTATTTGTGGTCTATGATTTCATGTAAACATGAACGAAAGTCAAAATAGTATTTGTCGTTTTGGCAATGTCTTTTCTCTCTGGTATTTCTATGTTTTTTTGGTTGTTTTTTTTGGTTTGGTTTTGTTTTAAATATTCAATGGGTTTTCTTTTTTCATGTGTCGGTGTTTCTATTGTCATTTATGTTCACATTTTAGCTGTTACACGTGGCTTATATAGTACTACATGTAACAAAACATCTCTCAGTCAATTTGTGTGCACGGTATATACATAAATGGGTTTGTATTTTTGTGTGCATTTACCACTAATGACTTCTCTCCCGTGATTCGTGTTCGCTAAAATATATTGTGTAATTTTTATTTTTATTTATGTACCGACTAAATCAAAGAGACCAAGAGAGAGAGAGAGAGAGAGAGAGAGAGAGAGAGAAAGAGAAAAGAAATGTTCACCATTGAGCTACTAATTTCGATCATTCACTTCAATTGATTCGAGCTGTTTTCCATTATAATCAGGACAACCATTATAATGCTCACGTTAACACCGTATAATTAAATTCATTTAGCATTGGTAATATAAATTTTGTTCACAAATGTCCAACGACACATATCTCAGAATGAAATGCGTGAATTTTTATGCGAGCTCACATACAAAACGATATAAAAGGCCATCGGGAAAATATGCTCAAGCACAGAAACGCCAAATATTATTTCCATAATTTACATTTCTCGTGCGGAGAGAGAGAGAGAAGAGAAGAAGAAGAAGAAAAAAATAGAAAAAGGCAAAACAGATGTAAATTGATGTTGCATTTTATTTCAGTTCGAAAATTGTTTGCGTAATTTATATTCTGTATGGTAATATGGAATTTCTCTTCAAATCACCCATTCTTCTGTCACTTTTTCTCTTTCTCTCCGTCTCTCATTCACTCTTTGTTGTTCTTTTTTTCTCGCTCTGTTATTTTAATCACTTTTAATGAAATTTAAATGTTCTTTGTAAAATAAATTTTGCAACATGAAAAAAGTACATTTAAATTACGGTGCAAAGTGCGATGAACGATAGCTATGAACGCTGAGTGCGCACTTTAGCGCAATCATGTATTATAAAATGAAATATTACCATACAGATTGATTTTGTAACGTGCGCTTATTTCTTATACCAACCGTTTTATCGACGATTCGTAGTGGTGTAAAAGAAAACGTTTAAGAATATACACAGCGTACAGTATTTATGTACAATGCAAATACTAAAAATAACATTCAAACATTATAAATTATTAGGAAAAAAAAATTGGATAAAAATCAGCTTTCAAATGGAATCGGCCGATGAATAAGTCGTTGGATTTTATAAGAAATGAAAATGCCGTCTTATAAATTTGTGAATTGAATGAAACCAGCGAATATTTTTGCCAACGATTTCAAAATTCTTGCTGAGCAATGCAATTGAAATCAATTGATGAGCTTGAGGAAAACTGCAACCAAATCATTTTACCTGACCCGATTAAAAAAAATGATTGAAAACAATCGAAGAGTCAATTTCATGATTCATTTCGATAGAGTATTCTTCATCCTTAGTATTTGTCTGCCATGAAAGAGAAGATATGCAAAATGAAAAATGCGAGCTGAGAAGAAAAAAAAGTAAGAAATTCCTCAACACTCATCAACACATTTAAATGTATACAGTTTTATGTTTATGAAGAATAAAACATAAAATACAAAATGAGCAAAATGTTCGCTATGCGTGTAGGCTGGTCGTGCCATGAATATTATAAAATGATGCTAGTGCACATGTAAGACGCACCATAGATCTTGAAATTACGATTAAAATCAAAGAAAAATAAATTCTCGGAGACGAGAAAATGGAAAAGGCAACAGTCTCGAGTGAACAGCAACAGGAGCAATCAATTTGAATGTTCTAACCGATGTAAATGGATGTTCAATATTCTCGCCGTATACATCTCTTACTTCTCTCACATCCGAAATGTTTTCCGAACGCATAAAAATGAAAGAGTAAAATAGAGAGATAGAGAGAGTAAAAAAAATGAAAAACTTAAGAGCAAACAAAAAAGTGGCATAATGGAAAAAAGGCATCGAATGTGAGGCTGGGCATTCATTCGAAGCAATAATAAACAATATTGGAAATGGAAACAATATGCGCACATGGGTGTTGATAGTTGTATAAGTAGCCACCATCGTCATTATTTACACAGAGCACGTCCGTGAGCTCACATATCTCCCGTTTGTAGACTGTATAATGTATACAAGCGGCACACACATATTTGACTCATCTTTTTTTTTCTTCTTTTTCTTCTACTATTTATTTTCATTCTCTCTCGCACTCGCTCGCTCGTTCGCTATTCTACATTGCCTTCCATACTGATCTGTTATGTTTGTGCTATTTATATAAAACAAAAATGAAAATTCATTGTGTATACACACCGCATTCAATATTCATGTGTAAATACTTGCGCGCACTTTTTTTTTCCTGCCCCATCTCTTTTACATTTTTCAATTTATGTTGTTGCTTTAGTTTTTATTACATTTTCTTTTTCTCGATTTCCGAGCAATCTAGTTGCTGCTGTTGCCAGTGTTATACGTTTCTGCTGCTGCTGTTGTTGTCGTTGTTGTTGTTCTTGTTGATTTTTTGTTTTCAATTTCACATCGTTCCACTGTGATTGTAATACATGTACTGCCTGCTTAATTTGTTTTTCAAATATTCGATTTTAGTTGGCGAATGCTGTGTATGATTCCTGTTCCTATAAAATGTTCTCTTTCTCTCGTGTATGCACATTGTTCAAATGACTGAAAATGTAAATAAATGCGCATCAACGAGAAAATCGAAACGAATTAGTCAGTTTCAATTTGAATTGAGTTGCGCGCGCGTGACGCCTCTTGTCTCTGATCGATTTGATTTATTTTCTAAATTCCATTTATTGAAATGGTTCATAGTTTAATATTGATTTCGATTTATTTGAAATAATGGTGAGTTCTAACCGTTACTACAATCTTGTCAGCATATATACGCACCCACACACGCACACCCTCACAAACCCAATTGCAACACAACAAAATTCCGGCATTTTTGGCAAATTTTTGTGTTATTTTTTGGGTTGAATTTCGGTTGATAAAGTCAGGCTCAAGCCATTCATCAACGCGTTTGCATTATTATGTCAAATGCGAGAATTTCATTTTTTAACTTGCATCGTGCCATTGTGACGTGTCGATACAACTAGAATTGTGTTCGTTTTTTTTGTTGTTGGTCGAATTATTGTGTTGCATGGTTTGTTGATTTCAAAACAAAACGCGAATTAGTTTTTGGACGTGTGCCCTTTTTTTCGGTTATATGCTTTTACCAATCGAAATTTACCGAATGTGCGTGTTGTTTCTATCTAAATCGATTGTTTTTGTTTTTATTTAAAACGAACATTGTGACAACTTAACCAATTAATCAATTCTGGAGGTTCGAATTTGCTAAAATATCGCGAAAAGTGTGTCGTTTATTTGTGTATGGTGCATTTATGCCTATGTTATTTATGCAGGTGCGAGTGTGTGTGTGTGTGTGTGTTGAGTAGCTTTCTCGAAATTGATGCAATTTTTGTGCACGACTCTGTGATTTCTGCGTTTCGATTCAATCCATTCGACATATTATTCATTCTACAAATGCATACATTATTCACAATAAAGCTAGTGTTAGGTGTGTGCCACACACCTTTTTAAAATGATTTATAGTTACCTCTTTTAACATTACTTTTGCAAAGCATGTTCGTTTTGCAATTGCCAACAATTCTCAGACTATATTTGTGCTGCTGCTACTAATGGCTCTGAAATTGTATAAATGAATGATTGACTGGCATTGTGTATGTGTGGTTAGGTGTGAAAGTCAGAACGAGAGAAACCAGTAAAAGTCAGTAAAGCGTTCACAACAATACAATTAAATAATTTTGCCACATTTTTCAACTTCTTGTACAAACGATGAATTGTAACATGTTACAGTTGCCAAAGAATCACCATATAAATGTATTCTGTTACTCTTCAAAAGAAAGAGGGGATGTAACGAGAAAAAAGTGCCGGCAAAAATAACAACGAAAAAAATAAAATTGGAGTGAGTGAGCAAGAAGAAGCGATGTGATCATTTCTAACCATAAGCATTTGGAATTTGAAAATTTTCAAAGCGCCATAGAATTTGTAATGCATTTGCTGAGAACTCAAATGGCAAATTAATCCAAAAAATCAAGCAGCTCATTTATTGTCAAATAAAAATATTTCATTCCGTTTGAAAGCCGGCTCTGTATGTACGTGTATGTTTTTTTTCATTACCTCACTCATTTTTCACTTCGTTCATTGATAGAATGCAATCTCATTCATTCGCTCACAGCGTTTTTTTTTCGTTCTTTCCGTTCACATTTGCAATGAAAACGAAAAACCAAAACCGAAGACAAAGATGGCCGTGTATTTTCCCATTTATTCAGATTGTAACAAGAAAATAATTTTTTTTGATTATATTGTATGTTTCAAGAGAAAATGCATAGAAAAGGGAAAAAACACACATATACACCGAACTGAATTCAAAAGAGTGATTTTTTTCTTCGTATGCAAGTGATTTTACTACATTTTCTGGTATTGCTGCCGCTTGCATCGTACACCACATTCTGATTTTGCCGCCCTGTTTTTAGTGATTTTCCGCTATGTTTCAATTTTGAATGGGAAATCATATAAAGCCGGGAGACCAAAAGAGTCAAAATGAATAGAGTGAAGAAATTAAGAATGAGAAATGGGCGAAGCGAGCGCGCGAAAGAGAGTGAGCAAACGGCAGTCCAACAGACATTTTTCGCTAGCATCAAGCCAACAAATAACATTCACATTCGTTGAATCATCAGTGTGCACAGTCTGCACATACAC